AGGCAAAACCTTTTTGCTGCTCTCTATCCACAGCAGAACCAAAGCTGCCAATACCTGCCTTGAACACAATGGTGTCACTGAGCCTGGATGATCAACAGGTGACCTGACCTGGCATCTATGGAGTATTTTCAAGAAGATGAGCAGCACTAGAGCCCATACTGCAGATTAAGTCATCATTAACTCTTCAACTGAACTACAGGTGGACCAATCGATTGATATATCACAGACATACTTTTATTCTCAAGGGGTGGACCTGTTCTTCCAGTTTAATTAGCATGTTTTCAAAGCCAAAACAAGGCTTTGTTGGGCTACTCTATAAAGCTTAGAACTCAACACTAATTCTAACATTTTGAATTAAGAAAGCCTTCTGGATGGGAAGCGAAACGTCTTCAAACTTAAAAAACAAGGTCTAGAGTTTTTTTCAATCTATTTTTTTTCTTTTTTTTTGCAATAGATAGATCACTGTTTGTGCAATAAATCTGCACAATGTGGTTTTAAGTTTTTACATTTTATTTGTATTTCAAAATGGGACAAATTATATAAAATAAAAGGAGCACTGCAACGTTTCGAGGTCACCATTTTTTTGTTTTTGTTTTGGAAGCATAAGACTATCCGGTTAAATATATTAATATTGTGTAAAAAAAATATATTATAAATTATTAATGATATTGTAGGAAAATGTTAGTGGGTCTAACAGGATGTGGACACATAAGAAATCCTTCTTAGAGCCGCATCCAACTTTGTGCCGCAGTGGCATTTCCAGTTTAAGCCAGCAGAGGGCAGCATTGTACAATGTGAATGTCTCGGGTTACTGCTGGGAAATAATGGCATCCGCTGGTGAGTCAACTTTTCCCTTAAAAGTGGGGGGTGTATCCCATCAAACGTAAAAGAAAAAGTGAATTGGTTACTTAAATGTTTTGTTTTATTGAAATATGGACCTAATTACACATTCGAAAAAGTTTATATTCACTTATATTTACTGAGCTCTTTAACACCTCTTGATTTATTTAAGCAACAGTCTAACAAAAATCTCACTACAGCATCCCGCAAATAAATCATGATTGGCGTCACGGACATTTCTTATAACTTATAACAAGATTCTACATGCTGGAAAACTCTCTTTCACCATCACGTTGAATCATTTTGGGTTTGCCATCTTCTTCAAACATTCCTTAAACTCACTGTTTTTTTTCTTTCCTTTTTTCCCAGCGGGAGGGGCAGCTCATTTGGGTTCCAACTCAGAAACACAGTTTCAGAACGCAAGTGGAGTCGCAAAGGGAGCTAAAGGTTTGATCCATTCTGTTTGTAAGGATGCCACATAAGAGGAGAAGCCATGGCCATCACAAAACCACAAAGGAGGTATGTTTGCGCAATTTGCTTTCCCCTGCAAATATGACAAAAGGGGGGAAACAATAGACTCTCTGTTGGATCATTTGAAGGCGTCACTATAGATTCTGAATACAGTAAAATATAATGTGTGAATGTGTGGAATCTCGCTGTCTATAGGTTGTGAAATGATTTTGAGGGATCTAGGACTCCATAAGGAATGACTCATCCTCTCCATCATGCAGGAGAATGGAGGATGGTCTGAATACTGCATGGTGCTACTAACAAACATGCTTCATGTATGCATTAAGTCTGCTGCAGCTTCAACCTTTGCCTTTTAACTTTTCCCTAATCAAAACTGGGCGTGTTGACTGTGTGGCTTTTGATCCTCGCTGCGCGCGGCTTGGAGATGGTTGCGCGCAGGACGCAGACATTCCTCCGAAAGTTGTTGTGAAACTTCTGCATCAATTGAGTCAGAGAAAGGGAAGTTTTGCAGAGCAGACTGTGTGCGACAAGGTGTAGTCTGCAGGGAGTGGCTCATTTAAGGGGGAGGCATGAGAAAAAGCCAGATCTGTCTGTGAGCGCTGGGCAGAATATCCGATTATTGCAGGCTTTAGCTTCCAATTGGTCCCTCATGGCGTACGCTGCGTACTGGATGAGCACTGTAAGTAGACACCAGACTTTTCTATCTTCTGTTTTAGCCCTTGGCAACACAGTAAAACCTGGCAGTCATTTAGAAGCCGTGATTTAATGCAGAAATCCAACCCAACAAGTCAGTAGACGTCGAGGTGCGCTTTGAATCTTGGCTCCTGTTGCAGGATAATCTTGGACACAATATGAAGTGCTGTAGCAGCTTTAGTCTGTCATCGCACTTTATTTATACAGTAAGGTGTGTGATTGTTTAACCTGAGACAGCTTCCAGCACTTTGTTTAGTTCTGAACAGTGCCTGATGTTTTTTTTCTACCTCTACACTAATCCAGAATAGGTCTAATCTGACCTAATCTGATAAATTTTAATTAGTTTTTATGTTCTAGTTTTCATTTTTGTAAGAGTTCAACAGAAATATGTAAAAATGAATAGACTGCTGAAACAATAGCTACAAATAGCTGCATCCTGTTCAGTGGTTCCATGGGGTCCAGATTTTACAATAATAATCATTCTGCCTGCAAAGCCTTTGTTCTTGCAATAACAAGCTGCTGTATGTGGGTGTGTGTGTGTGTGTTTTATAGCAAGGAAGAGTGGCTGCTCCTCATCTTGAAGTCCATCATAGTAGCAAAGCTTCACTCTATCCCTCTGCCGTGTCTCATTATGGAAAGGTAGTAATTTCACCTCCTTTTCTTCTTTCATACTCACACTTCATTCATTAGCACCATGTGAGATTTGATGCACAAACCTTGCAAAGTCACTAAACATATTTCTGATTTAAGAGGATGTTTCAGTACAATTAAGTGGTAAGATAATTAAAATTTACTATTTAAATGTGTTTAATAATTCATTTTGTCTGTTGTGACAGTGTGATAATATATCACAACTCCCCTCTTTTCCTTTTCTGTATTATTTCATTTTTAAAATGTTTAAGGTAGTTTACCTCTATAGTGTTTTTGGAAGACAAAAAGTAGGAGAAGCAGATAAAGACTAAAGTATGAGGAACTTGCTGATGCTTAGCGCCTTTCTGATATGAAAGGTTAAGAGTGTGGATCTTTGTTTGTGTTTGTCTCCCTCTGCTGAGTGCAGTCCCATTATCTGTTACCTGAGTTCACTTGGTGCTTAGAAATAGTTAAAGGCTTTCTCTGGTAAAAGCAACTAAAGACATGACCGAAAACTTGCTAAGATGTATTCAGATTTAGATTTGACAAACGTTTGCTGCTTAAGATATCACTTCTGAGAAGGTTCTGCGATATACAAGAGAACAGTGATACACTTTTAGCATCTTTAATAGCTTTTTATTAAGATATGCAGTTTAAATCTAATTTTACACTATTGTTTAAAAAGAAACAAACACATTTTCCTTCCTGTTGGATGTTTTAGCTCAGTAAAGATCACAAAACATATTTTTATTTGCTTTTAGGAAATAAAAAAAATATATATATTGGCAGATTTGTTTCCTTACTTGCTTCCAACTCATAATATTACATTAGAATTAATCTGCCTTTAAACAATGATGGGGAATCATGGGAAAAGCCTAGCGAATCAACCAGTTATCAGTAGGAGAGAGATGTCAGCCTTCATTAGTCTGATTCATCCTTGATTGCAAATTCCTAATGCCTGAAGTTGCCACATTCTTCTTTGGAAAAAAAAAAAAAAAGAAGCTGAAACTAGTGAGAAAGTGTGATTATTGATAAACGAGACCTCTACCTGCATGGGCTGAAATGCCACTGAGAGAGGAAGAAGCCATTACTACAAGATTAACGCGGAGTTGCAGAATTACAGTTTGCTTACTTTTGAGAGACATGATTCTGGTTTTGTAAAGGTGGTTTTAGAAAGACTTATACCCGTACTGATAATCTTATTAATTTAATAAATGGTTTACACTTATTCAATATTATTAGCAGCATATATCCTTATGAGAAGCCCTTTTGATGCAAAGGGATGCTGACAGCATGTTCCCTTCAAGGTAATTGTGGCTGACAAGAGAGGTATGATCGACACACCTCTCCTTTTTAACAAGATCCTGATAATTAGCTGCTGTGTTCTTGTCAAAACCTTTGCATGAGTTGAGTCTAGGAAAATGTTGGTAATTTTTTGCACCAGTGCTAAGACATGGTTTAAAAAGGGTTTGAGTAACTAAGGTAATTCTTATTACCTTTTTATTAAGTTTGTTATCAATTGCAAATCATCTGATCATGCTTCCTACCATGCCAGATTCACTTTAAACTACCTCTATAAAAAAGTTAAAGCATTAAAGTTTCTCGGGAACAGTCCTGCTGGGTCAGAACTGTATGTTCCTTTTATTAAAAAATCCCTGAGCTGTCATAATATTATAGGTTTTGGTTTTCTGAACAGAGAGCATTAGGTTTAGCTCTTTAGATGTGAAGAAGTAATAGCTTCCTTTCAGGATTTCTTTATTTTTGTTAATTTATCACACATAAACATCTCAAATCAATAAACAGAGTTTATATTAGACAGAAACAACCTGAGCAAAGACAAGCAGTAGTTTTAAATTACGGTTTTGTTTATCAAAAGGAGATTATCCAAACTAACCTGCCTCCAGGCTGTTAGACCAGTCATCACCCTGCCTTGTTAACTGGTAATTAATTTTGATTAACAACTTCTTTTTTGTAAAGAGAAATTTGTTTTAATTCGCCATATCTAGTTTGGATTAATGAAAGACCAGCTGAATCAATGAATCTCTGAAGTCAACCTTTTCTGACGACATAAAGCAGGCTCAATAATCTTAAAAAGCAACAGATTATGCTTCAGCCTAATAAAAAAAAAAAAATGACAGAGAAACCCCTTAAACATTTCTAGGAGCTCCTGCTCTATAACCTAATTTTACTCCAAGAGTGCATCAAGAACTCATCCAGGAGGTCACAAAGGAGCACCATGGAAAAAACAGCAGACCTCACCTGCCCCAGGGGTCATGATTCAGTTATAAAAGACAAAGGGCCTCTAGGAGAGGTTCTATGGTGAAAACCACAGCTGACCAAAAAATAAATAAATAAAATACACAAACCACTTCTGACATTTGGAAAAAATATTTAAGATATTGTTTATGATGTTTATTTCGCTACATCTAACAAAAAAAACTGCATATTCAAAAAAACGAACATTGTGCCTATGTTCTATAATAAGCAGTCTTTACCGAGAAATCCTGCAGGAGGGTGTTTGAGATGCTTCGCTTGGGTGCTTTTGGGTTATGCAGCAGCACAAATATCCACAGAACATCAGCAAGTCAGTTCTGAATGTGAAAAAAAAGGAAATTATAGTTCTGCATTGGATCAGTCAAGCTCTGGACTTAATTTCATTCTAAGTGCTGTTGCATCCTCATTAATATATCATTTACAGACCTTCCAGTGGGAAGGAAAACTATTTTGCAAAGAGTAATGAAATCATCCCACAAAAACAGCTTTTTTTCTCTCAGATCATCTTTGCCTGACATACATTTTTTGTTTAACCACATTAAACATCTAACTATTACAAAAACAACCAACATGTAAAGGGTGCAAATACTTATCACAACATTGCAAAACTATGGGAGTATTGATTATTAGTTAATGGGCTGTGTTTGTTCCTGTATGAGCTATAGTGAGGGAAATGGTGGCAGCTGTGGAGGAGCTTGGCTCCAAAAATAAAGAGGAACCCACAGATTAGCAGCAGAGTCAAGTTGCATGTATTTTCCCTCTGTTGTAACTGAGATTGACTGGTGACACCACCTTCCTATTTATAAATTTGTGATTGTGTTTTATACTAGCGGATGTCACATATAGGCTCCAGTGTTAACATAAAAACACATATTGAATGAAAATGTGCAGCACATCCGATGCCAGATTGAATAGTTTTCAGGGTGGTTACAGCTGAAGACATTTTTTTCCCATGGTGCACCAGCTTGTCTTACAGGTTAAGCCAGCCAGGGTGTTTTACACAGCAGAAGGTGTGCCTGTCTGACAGGGACAGTGCCATGTTCCCATATGTTTATGCGTGATCATTACCATGAGTGAGATAAATGGGGTTGAATACCATTAGCGTCTTTTTAAGTTTTAGGGTGTGGAGGAAATGGGTTTAAAGAGGGCAGACTAGTGTGACCTGATTCTGAGAGCATGAAGAGATGATGGATAAACCTAAGAAATGATCTGAGATGGTGTTTGTGCTAATGGGAGCAGTGTTAAAAAATATTAAATGTTTTGGCCACTTTTATTTGTGTCTGTATTTAAAATGTGCAAAATTAATTGCAGTTGGGAAATATGTATTTTTTTTGTTTCAATTTGTGCCAATAGGGAAAAACATTCCAGAAAAGGTCTTGCAGGTATCCAAACATATAGAAAACAAATATAATTAAGGGAGTTTTAAAGTTTCCAGGAAGCACTTTTTTAATCCATTAATATGATGTTGTTATACAAATTAAGTTTTAAGTTTATCGGTTTTGTAGGTTCATTGGACCAATATATGGTGGTTTAACTATTCTATAGATGTTTTGATTTTCTACATATTTCTCCCTAAACCCTGCTTCACCTTATTTTCTGTTTTGCTCCATTGTTTAATCATCTCCTGCTGCTAGCTAGCCTCACTCACCTTTAACCCTCCACTCCCTCATTGCTGCAGCAACAACCACTCGTTTTGTATCCAGTACTCACCTACCCCTCCTCTCACTAATCCCCTGTCTCTACCTCCACCTATGATGTTCCACTGCTGTATTCCTGCATGCTTTCCTGATTTCCCTGCTGCTTGTTAGTTTTCGGATTATAAAAAAAAATATTTTTCTCTATTAAATGCAATTAAAATTAAATTCTGACTATTGTATGACACTTCCTGTACTTTGATCTTCTCATCAACAACAAATCAAGATTACAATCTACTTCTATTATAATGTATCATTACATTAATATTTTCTATCTCTTGACTTTTGACTATTTCAAAAGTATCTTTAAAGCACATATTTTCCACTCAACCACAGGAAAATTGCTCTATAACTAAAACTTGAATTCTTGCAAATTAATTCCAATTTGACTGAGGCTCATTCTGAGGCTAAGAAATCAATTCACTGACAGTGTCAACTTTAATTTGTTTCCATTTTTTTCCCTCCCTGAAATAAATGCACATACAACCTAGAATACAGATTCTAAAATCGACTTAAAAACATTAAGGGAATAAAAGGAAAAGAATATGTTTCATAGAGGCCTTAGATTCTTCAGGGCAGTGGCCACTATGTTTGATAAGTTAAACACTGTGAACAGTAATCAGGACCATAAAAGACGCAAAATGAAAAAATAAATAATCCCAAACTCACTGTTTGAGAGCCGTCTCAAACAGCTGCATATTGAGATAATCAAGAATGACAAAGAATGGACAGATTGTACATGGAAACTAGCCGCTTGATCGTCATGCAGGAAAAAACTATTTCTGTCCTACCATCACAAATAGAAACAAGGTTTCCTAAATATAATAGAAATTAAATAGAGTGAGGTACACACAAGATTATGAAATATGACATTTAAGTTAAAAGACTACAGAAAAGGGGGTAAACCTCAGAGACTTAGACAACCTTTATTGTCATTTTGGATACATAGAGTGTATACAAAAATAAATTTTGAGTAGTACAGCTTTCCAAACAGTAAATGAACATTTCAATTCCTTAAAATTTAAACTCACCACCTCAGGA